AAAAAAATCCCTTTCAAAGGTCTCCTTGGGAGTATATAAATCATTTTTTTTTTAGGAATCACTGAGTTCTTTCGAGTCAAAATTCACTACAAGAAAAATTTGAGTCTCTAAATCGAGTCTCCAATGAGTCTCTAAAATCAAGCCTCCATCACCAGCCACAACGAGTCACAAAATCGAGTCATCATTCTCAAAAGTTCGTTTTGAAAGCGTCACTCTTTGAGTCATTCCTCGAAAAAAAAAAGAGAGAGAGGAAAATGTCAATTCAATCCCCGGGGTTTCCTAAACAACCCTAAAAAAATGTCAAGCATAATCTTTGAGAAGTAATTCTTTAATACCTCATCTCCACTCGGACCATCGTTTCTTCGATCCTTTCAAGACAAACGATGTCATCCACATTGTCCGTTTCCTTGAGTCATGTAAGTGGCTTTTGTTCTCTTTGATTCCTCAATCGATTGGACAAGTACAAATACCAATGTCTTGAAGTATTCCATGGTCAGCACCATTCTGGGGGCAAGAAGTGATAAGAACCTTCACCATTCTTCCATCACAGAGGTAATCACGGAATTTTTAGTTCAAGGGCAAGTGCTAAAAAAAAAACATACACAACCCAGGTGGAACCCAACCATCGTCAACCTCTTTTACACAACCCAGGGTTAGAACCGGTAATGGTTAACCTTTTCTTCCATAAAAAACCTAGGGTGAACCCCAAACCAAAAAAACCACCATTTTTCATTCCAAAAACCAAAGCCATTTGATCATTTCGACTTTAGGTGGACCCTTGTTCTCAAAGGAAAAAAAAACAAAAATAAAACAAATCTCTTTTCAAGCCTCATAAAAAGAGGCAAAAACATCTTCTCAAGTCCTCTAAGAGGCAAAATCTCTTTTCAAGTCCTCTAAGAGCAAAATCCTCTTTTCAAGCCCTCATTAAGAAGCAAAAATCTTTTCCAAGCCCTCGTTTAAGAGGCAAAATCCTCCTTTTAAAGCCTCATTAAGAGGCCAAAAACATCTTTTCAAGCCCTCATTAAATGTGCAGGCTAAGGGAAAAGAAGTTGCTGCTGATGGAATGAAAAAGAAGACAATAGAAAAGGGCGGAGAAGAGCCAAAAGAAAAGAAGAAGGAAGAGAAAGTAGGGAAAATGCAGAAAAAGACCGTCGAAGTTGGTGAGAGCAGTCAAAATCGAGCACCCAGCGGCGTAAGTGCAAGTTCAGTGTTGAGTCAGTTGCAGAGGACGAAGGCAGATATCTCATTATGGGATTTGCTGATACCATCCAAAGAGCATAGGGAATCTTTGTTGGAAGCCATAACCTTTGTCAAAGTGCCTGCCCGGATTCAGAGTATAGATATGATCAATGTGCTGCAGCGCCGAATTGGTGTGAATACTCAAATTTTGAGGCTCAAAAAGCCTGCTTTCTCGGACTGCAAACAGTCCGGCCGGACCGAAGGCCATTCGAAAAAGTTCACCGAAAGTATGAATTATTGTACTTGAAATGTCCGAAAAAATTACGAGGATCACGGAACTGGTCTCGAAATAATTAAATAATTTTTGGAGGTCGGAAACTTCCGGAAAAGCCTCCGGGAACGAAAAAAAAAGGAAAAAGAAAAGGGGAAAAGGCACAAATGCCGCCCGCGGGGGTGGCATTGCCCCGCCCAGGCCAGGCGGGACGCGCCGTTCAAAGCCAGTGCGGGCATGCCCGCCCGGCTTAGGGCGGGCACGCCCGCCCAAGGCAGGCGGGCATGGCCCGCCCGGCTAGGATGCAGGGCACGCCCGCCCAAGGCAAGCGGCATGCCCGCCCAAATGGGCGGCACGCCCGCCCCAAGCCAGCAGGTGGGCATGCCCGCCCAGACCAGCGGGCATGCCCGCCCCGAAAGGCGGGCGAGGCGCCCGGGTCACGTTTTTTTCCTATAAAAAAACGGTCTGCTCCATTTTGAGACACTCAGTCTGTGTCCTAACGGACGCTCCTTCTCCCTACGCTCTTTGCGTTCTTTACTGCTTTCTTGCATTTTTTAACTTTTAGTTTTTATTTTATTGTTGTGAAATACTTGGTCACTTAAAAATTAAAATTAAAAATTAATTCCGCTTAACGAGGAGCTTAACCTGGAGTTAAGAAAGCGGTCGACGATTAAAATCAGGTACATAACTGAAACTCTGCCTTGCCTATTTAATTTTAGCACGTCATGCATGCTTCTTTTCTACTCCTAATAATTCTACAACTGCATAAATGCATCCATGCCATCATTAGGCAGACAAATTGCCTCAATTAAATAAATTTAGGCTAAATGCCCGATTAATTAATAATCGCGGTATTAAGGCCTAACTCCGACAATATTGGCTCAAAACACCTAGTTAATTAATAGCTATGGTGTAATCGCCTTTATTTCAAACAAATCCTTCTTAAGTCCAATTAATTAATAATTGTGGCTAAAAGCCTTAATTGATCACGTTTTGGCAACAAGTTGCCTACAATTAAATCGATCTTTTGGCAAAAAGCCTTAAAATAATCAACTTATTTTTGGCAAAAAGCCTCTAAATCAATCATTTTGGCGACAATCGCCCAATCAACATCATTGGCAATCAAAAGTGCCTAAATCACTTTTTTGGGCTAAAAGCCTTAAAATCAATTCATTTTGGCGACAATTCGTCTAAATTAATCAATTTTTGGCAACGATGCCTAAATCAATCTTTTTTGGCTAAAAGCCATTAAAATCAACATTTTGGCATCAAATGCCTTAAAATCAATCAATTCTTTGGCCAAAATGCCTAAACAAAATGCAAAAGCATACACACACTCATGCATTAAGGCATACCCATTCAAAGCCCTTCAAAGAAGGCCTATCGAAACACGTTACTGGATTTCATTCAAAACGGAAGTACGTAGGGCACGTCCGGGATTTTAACCGCCGGGGGCGCAAGTCGAAATCACATAAACATTTTTTCATTGGTCTAATACATTAATCACCCTGCAAAGGCATTCATTCAATAGGTTAGTCTCAGTATGAAAACATAGTCTCGGGATCCATCTCGGGTTTGTAGACCATGCCTTTAAACATTGGGAAATTAATTCTAGTAACTAGGTTAATTAAAATTGGAGTCACTTTAGGGTTTTTTTTCTCGTTTACCCTAAATAATAAAATAATTAAACAAGGTGGCGACTCACACATCACGTGCATTTCTTCCTTAGTCACATGCATCCATATGCGTATGATGTTTTGGGGAGGGGTTCACAAGTATTGATTAAGAAATCTTTGTGCAAAGTAGAATGAATTAGCAAATTAGATTTGGAATTTCATTCACATGATCAATAGCTAAATATTAAGAGAACTAATATGATTTAGTAAAGCAAACACACTTCATGCCTAATTACTAAATCAGAACATTAATAATTAATGTATATTAATTATACTGATAAATCATGTACTGCAAGGTTAAGGTTAAGTCAAACCACTTTGACTTTTCAAATATTTGAGTAGTCATGACATGTTATTAAACAATGTACTTGACATTCAAATATTAATTAATTAATTAATTTATATTTGTCGCCAACATATTTGGAACCTAGAAAGTCACACACATAATAATGGATATAAGAAAGTGAAAACGAGAAATCGAATCAAGTATAACTATTACGAATAAGATTTGGGACATTAAAGATAAAATTATAATTTATATTTAATTACAATCTTACCTAAATTATTAAGTATTGACTTAATTGATTTATGTCTAAAATTTATTAAGATAAATTTTAGATTAAATAAACCTAATATTTAATTATTTATGATAGTTTAAATAAATAAATATAATTATTAAATTGAAAACCCTTATTACTATACGTAAGCACATATATATATATTAATTATAATTTATTATTTTAAAAGGTATATATAAATAATTATAATTTATTTATTTATGACGTAATGTTTTCATAATATAAAGTTCAAGAACAGTCTAATAAATTTAGTAGTTGCCTCATAGCCACAAAATTAAAACATAAAGCGAAGATAACTGCATCTTCGTACTCTCTAATCTCTTAACGTTTGAAAAAATTTTTAGAGTTTTTCGATTTGTCCATTCGTGTGGATACTACTAGAGGCCAGACACCTTGAACGACTTGTGATTTGCAAACAATCTACGCGGTAATCGAAGTTTCGAAAAATACGCAAATAGAAAGAGAATAGCTCACAAGCCAAGAAAATTTTCATTATAGAATGACGAAGAGTACTTCTGTTCCGGTTGATTGAACACTTCTTATGAGAGAAAGAGGGTCTAAAACGAAGGGGAGCCAGCAGTAGAAAAGATCGTACCTTAGCTTCCTTGATTGACAGACTGCTACCAACCGTGCTAGCAAAATGTTCTATTTATCCATAGAAATAGATTCGAGGACGAATCGATCTTTGGCGTGGCTTTAAACTCAGAGGAGAAAAATAATTATTAGACACTAATCTAATTAAATCTATGAGCAAAAGGAGTATTCTTCTAAATAATTTATTGTTTTAATCGTTTTAAACAAATTTTCTATTGCAATAATTATTTTATTATAATTTATCTCTTTCCGGTGCCGTGTTATTTGATATTGAAAATTCAACATAATATTATAGAAAAAAAAAAGAAATTTAAAAACCAAATAGATTAAATGAGGATTCCCCACCATATTCCCTATCACATATAATGGCAACAAGATAATAATTAATCCATACCCTTTTTTTCTTCTTTTTTTTTTTTTTTTTTTTCCCTTTTGTGTATATTATGTAATTTCCATTTTTTTTTTTTTTTTTTTTTTGTTCCCTTTTGTTTTATATTATGTAATTTCCAGGAAAGTGCTTATGTCTGACTTGGTTGGTTGCGAGGCCAACAGGGTCAGAGTTGTAGTTCCCTTGTTTTATTATTTCCCTTTTTTTTGTTGGATGACAATTTCGTGAATAAAATATTTTGAGGAAAAGAAACATATTTTTGCCCAATCAACGCTCTTCTGCTCCTACATGAAGGTGATCAAACGCTCACCTTTCTCTTGGTTTATTTATATCATTTAACAATTAACACCATACATATAAATGGTTTTGATTCAAAATCCATTCTCAACAGCTACTTAAGAGGAGGAAAAGAATAAGAACCACTCCAAGAAACACTCTTTCGAAGAAATCTCAATTTCAACCTTGAAGTTAAAATGGTTCTCTGATAATCCCATGCAAAAGAAAAGACAAAATTAATTAAAGAACCATTTTAACTTAATTTTGAAGCAAAAGAACGAACATCTTATCCCTCTCTCAATGCCAATCCCAGTTTGAAAGTCACCTTCAATGTTAAAAGCCAAATTTGGACTCACATAGCCTTTACATAAAATCAACCAAACTCGAGTCGATGAACAAGAAGACCCAAAACAAATTTATCGTGTCCTTTCTCACCTTCGTTTAGTCATTTTAGCAAACACTTTGCATCGTGTACTGTATTGTAAGCTAAAATTCTGAAGTTTTCATAGATCTGCTTGATATCAGAGGGATATGGGAAAAGGGAAAGTGGGTTTTTCTGTGTTGGCTCTAATGCTGCTGCTAGCTATGGTTTTGGTATCGTCAGCTGCTTCCAGTGATGGTGCGCAGCAAAAGTGGAGAAAGGCGATGTTATCTTCGATGATGCTCAGTAAAGTTGGGTCATCTCTTGTTTTTCCACTTCATGGAAATGTTTATCCTGCTGGGTATGTATACTAGATCTTTGCTTGCCTAGGATATATTATATCAGGCTTTGGTGCTAATTATGTGAAGTGTATGCAGATATGGTCTACTGGTTAGGCTATGATTGCATAAGAATATTTTATTTTAACATCTCTAGGTCGAAATCATACTTTTTCTGAAAAAATAAGATTAACGATTTGCGTTTTGCAGATATTATAATGTTACTCTCAACATAGGGCAGCCATCAAAGCCATACTTTCTTGATGTAGACACGGGAAGTGACCTCACATGGCTCCAATGTGATGCTCCCTGTCGCCAATGTACTGAGGTAACTACTACATATTATTTGGCAGTTGTTTTTAACCGATTTGTCGATTCACAATCTTCTTATCATCTCAATTGGGATTGAAGTTGATTTTAACAGAAAAGCTAATAGTGCAGCAGGTTGGATTGTTATGTCATGGGGTAAACAAGTTTTGCCCTGTTTTTAATGGTTCCATACAGCTTATATCCATTCTAAATATATAGGGACGTGCGATCATTTCTTTAAATCAATGACAAAAAAAATAATAATAATTGTTATGGTTTTTGCAGGCACCTCATCCACTTTACCGACCCAGTAACAACCTAGTGGTTTGTAACGACCCCCTGTGTAGATCCTTGCAGGCGCCTGGTGAGCACAAATGTGAAGATCCAGAGCAGTGTGACTATGAGGTTGAGTATGCGGATGGTGGTTCATCCCTCGGTGTTCTTGTGAGGGATGTATTTCTTCTCAACTTTACCAATGGACAGCGGCTTAATCCTCTTCTGGCCCTCGGGTGAAATTTCTTCTTTGCCTTTCTTTCTTAATTTGTTAAAAGGTCTATTGGACGCTACTTTTATGTGCTGATGTTTACTCTAACATTTAACAGATGCGGATATGATCAGCTTCCAGGTAGATCTCATCATCCCTTGGATGGAATACTTGGCCTGGGCAGGGGAATATCTAGCATCCCATCACAGCTTAGTAGCCAGGGACTGGTGAAAAATGTCATTGGCCACTGTTTAAGTGGGCGTGGTGGAGGTTTCCTCTTCTTTGGAGATGATATTTACGATTCCTCTCGAATAACATGGACCCAAATGTCTCGCGATCATTCGTAATAAGATACCTTCAATCTTCATTTTGGAAATTCTAGCTTAATTTTATATATTTGATTTTCTTTTTCTACTCTTACACACTCTTATTGCCAGAAAATACTACTCTCCTGGATTCTCCGAGTTGATGTTTGATGGAAAATCTACCGGGATCCAAAATTTACTTGTAGCTTTCGACAGTGGGAGCTCATATACTTACCTGAACTCGCAGGCATACAGAGGACTACTATATTCGGTGAGTACAGGTAGCCACAACATATTTTATCGATACATATTAATACAATGATAGCATAATAAACAGCAAAAGCTTTTATGTGCTCAGAAAATTTAAACTTCTTTCCTTACATAAGCAGCTCTCTTTTTCACATAATCAACTATTTCCCATCCTTGCTTTTTTGTATGTATAGTTGAGGACAGCACTATCAGGAAAGCCCTTGAGTGAAGTACCGGACCAAACGCTACCCGTTTGTTGGAAAGGAAAGAAACCTTTCAAAAGCTTACGTGATGTCAAGAAATACTTCAAGTCCTTTGCGTTGGGCTTCGCAAACAGTGGGAGGGCAAGAACTCATTTTGAATTTCCCCCAGAAGCCTATCTTATAATATCAGTAAGTCCAGCATTTTAATTTTGTTCTAGTCCAATTACAAGGAATAATTGCTGTATAACTATTTCCAGTCAAAGGGAAATGCTTGCTTGGGAATTCTAAATGGTACGCAGATAGGTCTTCGTGATCTAAATGTTATCGGAGGTAAAATCTTTGTTTAGTCTTAAGTATGGTTAACTTGATGAATTGAAAATGCAAGAAATTAAATATCTTAATTAAATTTTCTTCTTCAATTTTCTGTTAGACATATCGATGCAAGACAGAATGATGATCTACAACAATGAGAAGCAAGTGATTGGATGGGCACCTGCAAATTGTGAGCGGCTTCCCAAGTCCAAAGCGAGACAATAGTTCTGTTCTCACAACATTTTCATCCAAGAACATATAAAGGCCATTTATATATTTCATTGTAAAGAATTAATTTGAGAAAGCATATTAATTTTACAATAGTTATGTTTGATATTGTAAAGAATCTTATGAAAAGGACAACTATGCCATTTGTAATTTAAGAAAGCATATTAAATTTGCAAAAGTTACTTTAATTTCTAAGACAGAATTGTCTAGTGAGCCATAAAGAACATAAAAAATAATAATCAAATCCATTTCTAGTACGTAATCAGTCATGCTGTTTCATTAATCGAATAAATTGTTGTAGAACCTAATTACATATAAGAATTTTCCTAAAACTACTTGGAATATGATCGATTGGTGGATAGGATAGGATCAAAGTGGCTTGTGTAAATACATGAACATGTCCTCCAAGGGGGAGAATTGATCCATTTGGAACTCAACTTGAGAAGCAAAAGGATCATCTTGAAACCCATCGACGTAACTACTAAAACCAAAATTCAACACGCTCTCGACTTCTTTCTCAGGCGATAGCACGTGCTCCTCCGAGCAACTCGAGTCTGTATGCAATCTGGGTATTGAATCACATGTATCCATCTGTACTAACGGCTCATTGTTATTAATTGACGCTGCAGACATTAAAATCTTTGGTTTTTGCTCCTCCATTTCTGGATATTCTATCAATTTTATATCCACAGTGTACTGCTTCTCAATGCTTCCTTTCTTGTTGTATATTCGACATAATACCCAGTCATCAAGCTGCAAAAACAATTTTTTTTCTTTTAAATCAAAATCAAGAACGAGTTCCAGTAATTTAGATTTATTTCCCAGAAAATTAGCGGAACAATTTCCAATAATTTTATCAAATTACCCTGAGGTTGTTCTTCTTGCGGGCAGACCTATCAACATCGGCAAGCCGATATTCATGCATTATCCAGTTGGTTTTGACTCCTTTTGGAGCTTTTCCAGCGTAAAAAACGAGCGCTTTTTTTATTCCAAGTGGTTTGGGCCGACCAATGGGTTTATCAGCTCCTGTTGCTTTCCAATATCCGCTTCCCGCTGCCCGGTTCGGCCGTGAACCATTGGGGTATTTTCTATCTCTTGGAGAAAAGAAGTACCATTCCTTTTCACCGTACGGAGCCATGTCTGCACCACAACAAAAATTTATATACATCTAAATAATCCGGAAGAAATCTCAAGATCTTTAATTAGAAGAAATCATAAGAATAAATTACCTGGAAGCTGCCAAGGATCATACTTATAAAGATCAATCTCAGCAATGATCGGAACAAAAATAGGCTGCCCTGCGCATTTCCGACACAAGTAATGATTCACCAATTCATCATCTGTTGGATGAAATCTGAACCCAGGAGGTAACTCTAGCTCTGCTCTCTTCATTTCCACTTCCTATCTTCTTCTTCTTTTCCTCTTTGTCTATTACTATAATATTCCCTCTTGCTGCTGCTTGGAGACTCAAACGATGAGCAGAGTGAAACATGGCAGATTGCTTTATATGGGCAATGAATTTTTAACCTTTTTTGTGTCACGTGGGGTCTATCTGTATAACCAAAACGTGGGTTTTGTCGTATTATTTTCCTAGCTGACCGCAGCCGTCGACAATGACATGTGTCCACAGTGGAATCAGAATATGACACGTGTAATGATCTTCTGTCACGGCTTCCGTCACATGCCCGTCCGCAATTGAATGTCGGCCTAACGCCTCCTGGCGTTCGTTGACTGTTTTTTTAATTTTTTTATTAGTCAAACTGATTAGTCAATACTAATCTCTCGTATAACGTTAAACCAATAGAATGGTGCCACGTTTCAAAAGTTTTGCTTGGCACAAAAGCCCTCAAATATGAGTGGATGTGTCAGTCTTTCGAAACTACCGCTTGTCTCGCATGATTACTACTGTTTTTTCGACGGTGGATTAGAATACACGTCATCGTCTTCGACACACACGTATGGAATCGCACGTCATCTTCATTTGTTTATCGGTCTTCGTAGTAAAATGATTCTAAACGTCATCACTTACATGTCCGGGACGCGGGTATTATCTAAATAAGAATAATAATAATTAGGCATGGTCGGTTCAGTGAACCGCCGATTCCGGTTCACTGAACCGTCGGTTCGAGATGTTTAAAATTTTAAACCGGAACCGATCCTTGAACCTCCGGTTCCGGCACGGTTCAGCATGGTTCCGGCGAACCGACGGTTCAAATTACAGTTCCGATTCGGTTCCGGCATTACACCGATCCTTGAACCTCCGGTTCCGGCACGGATTCAGCAGTTCCGGCGAACCGGACGGTTCAAATTACAGTTCCGATTCGGTTCCGGCATTTACGAAATTTTAAAAAAATATAATAAAATTTTGATTCCGAATTCATGGAATAAATAATTAATTTTTTAAAATGTTTAAAATTTTATTAACAGAATAATTATTATAAATTTTTAAAGAAAAACAATCTATTAACAACTTAGAACTATTATTACATTTAATTTACAATTTTGCTAATTTACTAATATAAAAAACATAAATGGAATATAAAATTAATGAAATGAGTTGAAAATTTATTATTTTTTCAAATACTAAGAAAATTATTTAAAAAAATCAAATGAAGTAAATTTATTGGAATGGAAAAATTTGAGATTAGAGGAAAGAATTTTGGAATTGGATGTAAGAAAAATAAAAAATAAAACAATAATATTCCGAATTATTTAAGGAAAATTAAAGCAATAGAAAAAATAATGAACTATGGAAATTTGAGAGAATTTTGATTGAGAATAAGAGAAAATTGGTTGTGAAATAAAAAATCATCAACTTATTATATTTATACATGTTTCTCATTTATTAGTTTTCCAAATTGTCCCTTATAACAGAAAAATAACTGCTATATTTTTGGATAATTTAGTAAATTATAGTAAATAAATAAATAAATGATTAAAAAATGAATAAAATTTATTTACCAAAAAATAAATAAAAACACATATCATATCAAAAACTATCTGTTACACTCTTTTTTTTACACTTGAAAGTATTTTTTTTAATATAAATCAACTATTCATGTACCATTTTTTTGTATAAATTAAGTCAAAAAATGTGTATTTTTTTCACCACTCTTTATAACTTATGTACCGTTGTACTTCTCTTCACCAAAAATTAAATCAACTACAATCAAATCAAGTGATATAAATTTTTTTATAAAAATTTTAAGATAATTTTTTTGTGCATCCGGTTCCGGTTCATATTTTAATATTTACATGAACCTGGTTCCGGGCCCGGGTTTCCGGTCATATTTTAACATCTACATGAAACCTTAACGCGGCCCTTTGAACCGCCGGTTCCGCGTTCAAATTATGGGGAACCGCGGTTTCGGTCCGTTTTCGGTTCGTCTACAGTACGCGTTCGGTTCCGGTTAGAACCACCGGTGGCCATGCCTAATAATAAATTAATATAATGCCATGCGCCCAATATCCTTTCCGTTAGGCAGCGGTTCATATGAACCGACGGTTTCGGTTCATTGAAACCGCCGGTATCGAGAAGTTTTAAAATTTGAACCGCGGTTCATTGAACCGCCGGTTCGAGATGTTTAAAATTTTGAACCAGAACAGACCCTTGAACCTTCGGTTCCGGCGAACTGACGGTTCTAATTACTGTTCCGATTCGGTTCCGGCATTACGTAAATTTTTAAAAAAATAATAAAGTTTTGATTCCGAATTCATGAATAAATAATAATTTTAAGATGTTTAAATTTTATTAACTAAATAAATTATTATAAAATTTTAAAACAAAAAACTTCTATTAATTTAGAACTATTATTACATTAAATTTACAAATTTTGCTAACTCACTAATATAGAAAATTATAATTTTTTATTTTGGGCTTGAATTAAATTGTGATTTTAAATGCCTATTGAGAGAGAGTGTCATATCCTCCTCCAAGCTTGAATGCATATTCTTTTTTGCAATAATTACATCGAACCGCATTGATTTCTCCATTATCTTGAACAATTTTTGCACAGTGCTTCTTGAAAATATCTGATTTTGGTGGTTTACGGTTTACCTATTGAAATATTAGGAGATATTGCTTCTTGTGGTGAAAAATCAATCAATGGATCATTTGAATCAATTTCTTCCATGCTTTGAGCAACTTGCTTTCTCTTGGAGATTTGTGAATTGTGTGCCATAATTTTAAATGGAATTATGGAACAAAAAATGAATAAATGGAATATGAAATTAATGGAATTTAGAATTGGATGTATGAAAATAAAGCAATATTAAGAAGAGAAGAGGAGAGATAGAATATAATTAAAAAATAAATCAACTCATCATATTATACCATTATTTTTTGCATTTATGTAGTTTCCCAAATTGTCCCTTACAACAAAAAAAAACAATTATATTTTTGGTAATTTTAGTAAATTATAATAAATAAATAATTAATTAAATTATAATAAAATAATTATAGCCGTTTGAACTTTGTTTGAACTTTAAGTTTAACGTTGTGTGAATTTAATGTATATTATATTCATGATAATGATTACATAGGTCAAAAGGTATTTGTAAAAAAAATTTAAACGTTGATGATGTTAAAAAAACAAAAAAAGGTGAATGATGATGTTTTTTTTTTTTTAAAATTAAAATGATGATTTTTTTTTCATAAATAATTTTATATGTGAATCCGGTTCGAACCGGACCGGAACCGACGGTTAACCGCCGGTTCCGGGCCGGTTCAGGTTCATTTTTTAACTTCACATGAACCTTAACCGGTCACATGAACCTTAACCGGCCCTTGAACCGCCGGTTCCGGTTCAAAATTTTGAACCGCCGGTTTCGGTCCGTCTACAGTACGGTTCAGTTCCGGTTCGGTTCCGATTAAAACCGAACCGGTGGCCATGCCTACTTTCCGTGTTTAGTACAGAGGAAAAAATAAATAAATAAAAGGCTCAATTTATTCCTGAATCTCAAACAACATATTACTAATGCCCTGTGCCGAATATCCTTTATGTGTCTAGTACATAGAAAAAAAATGTGAAAAAAGTTAAATTTATCTCTGAATTTGGGACAATATATAATTTATCTAAAAATTTATTTTTTATATAAATTATTCTTGAAATTTGTATCAAAAGTAAAAACTGCTTAATTTTTATCCTAAAAAATAAATTATTTGATATAAATCAAATATGGTTAAAAAAAGTAGTTAAATATTTTATCTAAATCAACTATAATTTAAAAAAATCAAAAAATAAATATTTTTTAACCAAATATTTCAATATAATCAAATCTTTTCTAATTCTATAATTTTGTTAAATTACATATTTGTTAAATTATTTTTAAATCAAATACTATAAATTTTTATAATTAATTATATATTTTTAAATTATTTTAGGATTCTAATTTTATAATTAATTTTTATAATTATTATATATTTTTAAATTATTTTAGATTCTAATTTTAAATTTTTAAATAATTTTTATTAGTTAAAATTATAAAAAAAATTCTCAAAAAATTTGGCATTTTATTTTTTTGGTGCAAATTCAAGGGCAAATTATACAAAAAGTTAATTTTTGAGCAAATTATATATTATATCCAAATTCATAAGGCAAATTGAGCCTTAATTCGAAAAAACACTAACCAACATAATACCACACAACAAACAACTACTAACATTGTGTTCGGAATGGACGAGAAAAATAATAACAAGGAAGGAAATTTAAGAAAAATTAAGGGAGAATTATATTACTTTCTTTCTTCATTTATTTATCACACTATATTTGGATAAATAGAAAATAGAAAGAGAGAAAATAAAACTTCATTCATTACATGTTTACATTTTCACCATTATCTATATTTTATAAATATGGAAATAAGGGGAATAATGAGATTTTTTATAATATCTAATAGACTAAATAAATGATTCAATGATTTGAAGACTTTCTTTTCTTAATGTAAATACGTACTCAGGAACTAAGCAGTAATCCAAATCTTCAACCTACGGTTGAATACAGGTATTCAAGAACTAACTAGTAATCCAAATCTTTAATCTACACTAGATGAAATCATGATGTTAAATATAAAACTCAGTAGTGCTCAATACCTATATGCAATCGCACATACAAAACAAATATGGTTCATTGAAAACCATATCTAATAGAATTATTTAAAGTTCAAGGCATACAAACTATCATCATTCATAGATTCATATTTACAAGTATACTCATAATCCATAGTCATATCAATAGGCATAAACATTAATATCTAGAAGTTCTTATCAAGCAAATTTTCAATGTTCCACAAGTATAAGTATTCTCATATCAAAATAAGACAAGTATTATAATCCAGTACATATATAAGTACTTAATATTAACCATGAGTACACAGATAAGCAACAGATAGAATATTATCAATTCATATCATAATCCAAAATAGCGTTTCACAGTCACATCACTTAATATCTTTTATTATTGGACCTTATCAGTAACTTAAAAGAAGCAAAAGTACTTAATATTCCACAAGTATAAATATTCTCATATCATAATAAGACAAGTATTGTAATCCAGTATATACACAATTACTTAATATTAACCATGAATACACAGATAAGCAACAGATAGAATATTATTAATTCATATCATAATCCAATATAGCTTTTGACGGTTACATCACTTAATATCTTTTATTATTGGGTCTTATTAGTAACTGAGAAGAAACAGAAGCAGAACAAATAATAGAAATAGTATCTGAATCAAAGTCAAATTTACACTGGCTAGATAGCCTTTTATTACAGTAGGCTTAAAAGCCTTTCAGAAATAATGGAGCACGTCCACTCATTCAATAGACATCCATGACATATGATCATAGCTCAATCCAGTTTATATATAAGTAGCATGCTCTTTGTTTTCAAAATAGAATAGCCACATTCTAACAACCATTCAACCAAGTACATAATAAGAGTCCAAATATTTATTATTTCATTCAAATTATTTCAATTCCAATTCCAGATAATAACCATGTATTTATATATTCACATAATTATTCATAAAGTCCACAACAAATAGGTTCTTACCTCTCAGCAATATCACCTAATTAAGATTCATAGGAACTCATAATTCCATATGAACCTCAACCTCATAGCATGCTCAAACTCAAATTAGTTTATACTCATCAATAGCAATAGACAATAGCCAAACAATATTATTCAAGCTTATCTCATTGAACTTAAACGCTTAAGTACACAACATAAGTAAACCATCAAAGGAAACTTACTCACCTCAAGCTTATAGCTTCGGCCTCTTTTAGGCTCTTTGCTAAAATACCACTTTCATTCAATTAATCATGCATTTATACCTTACAAGGTTCTAATTGAAAGACTATCAATTCAAAATAACTCAATCATGCATGCAGCCTAGAAACATCCATGATTTAATCACATAATAACATCATAAAAACATCCAATTGCACTCAATGCATTCAATTTACATATATAGACTGATATCCTGAAAATCCTCAATTATGGTTCAATTCATGACCTAAAACCCAAATTCAAGTACTATTATTCAAGTTAAGTATAATTGACCAATTAAAAACCATACGTAATACCCTTAATCTGATAGTTCTAGAAGTTCTAGTTATGTTGTTAATTAATATTATCCGGATAGCTAGAATAATTGGGATTATCTCAATTTTAATATGTAGGACTACTAATTATAAGTTATAATGTAAGTTAAGGTTAAATTGCACTATGGGAATTAAATTAGATTAAGGTTAAGTGAATTTAAGTTATCGTGATGAGAAGCTAGCACGTGAAGCTCCTCAATCAAGTATTTTGAATTAGTACTTAAAACAATTAATATTTAAATGTCTAAGTGTTTGATTAACAATTACTATTGTATTTTTTTTAATAGTTATTAAATGATTGAAACTTAGAATTGTAGGGCTTCTCCCAAAACGGGAGCCCTTCCAGAAATTCTCGAAGGCCTAAGTTGAACCTAGACCTAGGAGGGGGTTTGTAAACAGTTTTCAACCAGCAATAGATGCGCCTCGGTTAGAACCTCATGAGCTGCGTCATTGCCCCAAGCGCAAAGACGTTTGTTTTTCTTTTTGTCAAAAATATATCTATCTCCTTTAAAAAGAATTATATCTATGTATTAACAAAATTATTATCCTTATAACTATTAACAAAATTTTCAACAGGTGTAAAAGATATATGTTATATTTAATCATCATACCTTATCAACTAAAAAATCTTATCGATTTAAAAATTTAAAATTTTTCCAAAAAATTTCAAGTTTCTTTTTTAAATGTGGATGCAATCCACTATTATTTAAATCTAAAATTCAAATCCGAATTTATAATATATCTAAATAGAATAAATAAGACATAAGAGTATACAAAAATATATTTTGAATCTCAAATAATAATATTATTATTAATTAAAATTTTATTTTAAAATATGTTTAATTACTTTTATTCAAAAATAAAAAATTTGAATAAATTAATATCATATTTCAGTAATAATATTTATTTAAAAAGTATATAAACACTCGCGCGCAAAAACGAAATAACAATTAGTATAGGTAAGAATAATTGAAATTAATACTTAAAACAATTAATATTTAAATGTCTAAGTGTTTGATTAAGATTTAATTGGTTTAATTGAATTATAATACTTAAAGAATAATTAAAGATAAAGAATTAAAAAAAGAAAAGAAAAGAAAACAATAGAAATGTTATTAAGGTGGGATAGTGATGGAATTTGTACTAAAGCTTAGGGTATATACATAACTTTAGAAGCAAAAGGACAATTCCACCTCTTTCTTTTTACTCTTTATTTGGCCAACCCACTCTTTCTTCTTCATTCTTGATCTAAAGCTTTTTCTTGTTTCTTCCTTATGCTTGGCCGAGCACTAACAAAGAGAGGATAACATGTTTTAGTTGATTTAAAGAAGAAGAAGAGGATTTAAGATAGAAATTAAGCAAGGAAATAACAAGGGTTAGTAATTCTTTCTTGTTTCATGATTATATGGTTTTAGTATATTAGGTTTTAATATTAAGTATATAAGTTTTAGGGGTAGGGATGACAATTTAACCTGATCCGATGGGAACCCGTTCCGACTCGATTTTGACGGATTTGGGTAGTGTACAAATGGGTTCGAGATGGATTTGAGTAGTAATTTTAGTGCTCGCATTGAGTTCAGAGTGGATACGGGTTCAAGTGGATGAGTAACGGGTTTAGAGCGGATACGGGTTCAAGTGGATGAGTAACGGGTTCAGAGTGGATACGGGTTCAAGTGGATGAGCAACGGGTACCCAATAATAACCGGGTCTGGGACGGGTACCCGCTACCTGAACCCCGTTACCATATGATTTAAGCAAAATTTTAATTTATAATAATATTGAACCCATATGATTTAAGCAAAATTTTAATTTATAATAATTTTGAACCTATGACCTTTGTGTATTAATTAAATTACCTTACCATCAAGTTATTTAACATTCTTATGTAAAAAATATGCAACAAATATATATATTGGCAACTATAATAATTTGTACTTTAAACATTTATTAATGAATCCACGGTATTATTGAATAGTAATATAATCTTATTTATAAGTAAAATTTTAATCAAATTTTTATAATATCATAATACATTGAATTTAAGTTTTTTTTCATAAAATATATTAAACAAAATTATATATATAGTATTCATGTAATGTTTTAATAATTTAATTGAATATTTTATATTTTTGTAATTATAAAATTTATTAATTGAATAGAATGATAATAATGTTATCATTAAAAATTTTTAAAGCTACTTATTAACATCACTAGTAAACTTCTAATGATAATTATAATTAGATCTTAATTTAAAATATGACTCATGTAGAATATAAAATCTACATAGACTTTTAGTAAATTATAATATGACTCATATAAAATATCACTAATGAACTTATAACTATAATTACAATTGGATCTTAGTTAAATGTCTTTTTATTTTTTTATTAGTATCATCATATATATAAGTATACTTATACTTAGAAGTCTAGTGTCTATAGGTTAAGGATTACAACAACCATAATTAATTATAACCTACTAAGTATATTCTCTAATTTAAAAATATTAAACTTAATGCTTTATATAATATTTTGTTTTTTTTTTTTTTTTGAGTCTCAGCAACACGTCAGAGGGGTGGATGGTTGGAAACCTACATAAATTGTGCCAAGCCCAAAGGCCCAACCTCAGAGAGGATAGGCGGCCCGCAGGTAATTATGACATCACGAAGACATGCCGCGAAATGAAAGGTGGTTCCAGAATAGTGGCCACATCCAGACACAAGGGCGAATACACGACGAACCCGAATGAGCAGTGGTGTGAATAGTTTTCGTTTTACTTGGTATTCTCCAAAAAACTCTTCTTTCTTTTCATTCCCTAAACTGACTTTCGTCCCTTTAAACATGATTAAGGTTAATACTACACTCTTTCTTCTACTCGGATAAATGCTATCCATTGTTGGAGTTTAACAAAAGTTTGGTAATTACTCTAGGTACAATGAAAGGTGTAAGAAGTTGTCAAAATCTTTCTTGCCTATTTTCAGACCCCAAAACCGACCAAAAGATCTCCAATCTCCTTCATACTTTCCAGAAAATACAATAGGTGCGGCCTCGATGTTCCATAGAGCATTAAGCGCACATAGTATGCAGGGTTATAAAATTATTTTATTTTTCCCAATCATAACCCAATATTCCACACTTAATTGTTAATATCGATGTTATTTCTTGATTTTAAAAATTCTTATACACGCTAACTTATCTTATCTCCATAACAAGAGACATGTGCTTGCAATAATCCAGATTTGCCCATATTATGTTCTATCTTTGACTTATATTGTGATTCAAATTTCGCACTTATTATTTTAAATCCTTAAATAAGAATAAGTGCCCCGAAATTAGTCGAATTGGTATAAGGCTTCAATCGCTTATTTCTTAATCCATAAGGTGTAAGTTCCGGGTGAAAGATAAGTAAAAGAACAATTAAGGGTGGATAAAGAATGGTGATTAAAGGCCCGAGATAAATATAATTCATTAATTTATTTTATAGAAATCTTGTGCACGAAATAATAATATTACAATGTCTCTTAAGTTATTAAAATTAAAGGTACCTTTCTTCAATTTATGAGTAAAAGTGAAGGAATAGACTAATAATGGGCTTTCTCTTAATTACCATTGATTTAGACAGGATTCAAAAATTAAAAAATGAAAGAAATTAAGTGAACCAACCGTCAACTTTCGCGATGAAGGAGTTCTCTAACATTTATAGTATAGTTCTATAAATTTAATGACCCAACTCAGGGTATACAATAATAAACCAAGCCTCATAGTTCCCGCGGGTTCACTACAAAAACGCAAAAATAAAGAGATTGATCTTACTGAAATCTTAACATCCCAAGAGATTGCTTCCAGGACATAATGAAACGATAGAAGTTCCTATAGTTTACTTGACCATACGGGGCCTATTACCTAGGCATAAGAGAGTTGATGATATAATGTCCCCAATAGCCCTAAATATATACCTATTACTTTATGTGAATATATTATTGTATGTCTTAAGGTGGGGTGCTGTTTTGGATAGATGAGATTGATTGTAATTTGTTGCATAACTGTGGAGCCCAGTCCGCTTTTACTATGATACTTTCTCGAAGATATATACTACGATATAAAGGAGAAAATATGAAAAGAAGAAAGACACGCGTTCAGCGCAAAAACAGAAAATTGCATAACACTTATTAGAAACGTACAATTGTTCCAACCTAAAGTAAGAAGGTTATATTGTAGAAGTTAGACCTTAGAATACGGAGATATTAGATTAATAAGCATAAAATGCTAAGTATTGAAAGTCGGGGTTCCTTGGAAGATTCCACATTCTGTGGAGCATTCTGATGCCACTGTTTTGCAGCTTGATGCCTCGTTAAATCGGCAGTATTTAAGTGGGCGGTTGGTTGTTGTGGTTTGGTTGGTAGAAATACTTCCTCATACTATAGACCTATGCTCCTTAGAATGCGGCTCATCAAGGAAGCGAGTCTTTCAAGAATTAATTAGAAGTTAGACCTTAGAATATGATATTAGAATAAGCATAAAATGCTAAGTATTGAAAGTCGGGGGTTCCTTGGGAACCACTTCTGCACTATGCGTGCACGATGTCGTCGAGTATTATCGAGTTGTTGTTGTTGGAGAACTTCCTTACCTAGCCTATGCTTCAAGGCGAGTTTCAAGCTCATCACAAGGAAGGATTTTTTCTTCTATTGGAGTGAGCAAAAGGTGGGAGTTAACGAGCTCTTTTCTTTTTTTATTTCTTTTTTGATTCCCTTCCGTCATTCCTTAAATCGCATAGCAGGTCTAGGGGGCATCTTATGTCTTTCACAATCCGATGGAAGTAGATAGGACTGTGTTGATTGAAGCTTTTGGTGCCTAGCGCCGCGGAATCCCCTTCTCCTCCTTCATCGTCATTGGTCCTTTCTTTCTCTTAGCTGCGACTTCCTCTCTATACGCAATTTATTTTTTGTGCTTTGTGCTGTAATCAGAAAGATGTTGTTATTCTACGATGTGGCGTTCCAGAAAGACTCACTTAACACTTTCTCATTCACACCGACCAGCTACTGAGTTATCACTTGGTATCGGAACTTTTCTCAATGAAGAATTTTCCCTTCGATGGGAACTCCTACTACTTCTATCTACCTACACCATTCTTTCTTTAATAAAGCTATTTCCCACGGTCAAGCCTAGTAGAGCTCCTAGTCTGACAAGACTAGCAAACATGCTACTAGGCCTAGCTACCATAAGAAAGGAAGGGAAAGCGAACCACAGAGACCATTTCACAAGAGCTGAGCTGAAAGAAGAGTGAATTACCCCCGGGTGACTGAACTGCAGGGATTTCTATTTAAGAGCCGGGTGAGCTACCTTAACGGCACCCTGGTATTCCTTATTTTTTTGATAGCACAGGTGATCCCTAATAATGGGATTTGAACAGGAGGGCGATACTTGGCACAGAGGACCATGGGTTTCACAAAGATGGTAGCTGAACCCGACA